GTTTGCATGTGCAAAGACTACCTGGCAAAGCACTGCTCTTGCTTTTGCTCATGCAAAATCTTGACGTAACCTCTTGCAAATGCAGCCTGAGCTGCCCCCCAGCTGGCTGAGGATATGGCTGGGCCAATCCACGTTTAACTGTCCCCCTTTCTCTGCAGGTAATAGGGAGCTCCCTCCTCTTCATTCACGACAAAAAGGAACAAGCCAAAGTCTGGATGATCGACTTTGGGAAAACCACCCCACTGCCCGAGGGACAAGTTCTCCAGCACAATGTGCCCTGGGTGGAAGGGAACAGAGAGGATGGCTACCTCTGGGGGCTGGACAACCTCATCCAGATCCTGACAGACTTGTCCCAGAGTGAGGACTTGCATTAAAGCCTGCGTCCAACTCTGCCACTACCCAAACCTGCCCCCAACTGACTCTTCTGAACTGCACTACAAGACACTTTCCAACCCCTGCCCTTCCAATTTTAAATCTATACTCTCCCTATTTAAGGTGGTTTTGTTGTGGTTTTATTATTTTTTAGGATATTTTCCCCCTTCTACATGTAAATATGAAGCTAATTTGCCAGAACAAATGCTGAACTTGAAACATTGGCTTCACAGAGTCAGTGGCAGCCTGGGAGGGGCTGATTAGATGGGCATGTGCTTTTGCGTTTTGTGCAGCTTGGTTTTCAGGGAACCTTCCAGCTGGCTGTGGATCAGGGATGCTGCAGCCAGGCTCTGTCATGCTGAAGGGCCCTCCCTACCCTAGCTTCAGAGGCTTCATCCCAAAAACACCTCTGCCTGGGACCCTTCCATACACAGGGGGCAGGAGCGAGGCTTGGAGATGGTGAAGGGTTCTTGGTGGGGAGTATCCTGTAGCTGCCTTTGCCAGCACCTTTTGCCCTAGGAAACTGGCTGTGCTAAGTCCTTAAGAGTCACTAGGAAGGCAGGTTTGGGTTTTTCTCTTTGTATTGGAGCCATCCATTTAACTCTGTAGAGGCTGCTCCACCATTGTTGAGTTACTGCAGGGCCACGTGCTGGGTGCAGGGACCTATTACGGCCAGGTACAGGCCGCAGCACACTCCTGGCTGCAGTGGCATGGGGGTGATGCCACGAGTCCCTTGTTGGAGATCCACATCCAGCTCTCCCCAGCAAGCATTTCCAACCCTCTGCAGGGAACAAAGGCTTTGCTAGGGCTGCAGGGAGAAAAACAGCATAGATGAGACCACTGAAACCTAAGGCAGCCAACCAGGTTGGCTGCTCTTCTGGTGCATGCTAAGGGCTGTGCTGCTGTAAGGGCTGTGCTGCCAGCACCTGCTCCTGGCCCAGGACCTCCCTCCTTCCCGCAGCACCTCCAGCATTCCCCAGGGGCCAGTTTCATGCTCAGAAGGCAGGGACTAGGGGGTTACAGGGACAAGCATCATTCAAGATGCCATACCAGTCTTGATCAGCAAAGCAGGGAGTGAGGAGGCACCTCTGTGCCTTCCCTTTTTTTTTTGCAATGCTTGCAGGCTCAGCTCTCGGCCATGAGCTCCCCAGCCTGCGTCCGGCCTCCCTGCTCCGAGTCCTGTGAAAACAAGCAGTTCCCTATTCAGGGCGGAGGCTATTTTTTGACTTCCTGGAACATTTGAACTAAGCAGCTTGCTCGCATCAGCGCTGGCTCACTAAAGGTCAGCTATTGACAGACGGCGGGGCTGAGCTGCAGCCCCAGGCCCCGCTCGTCCCTCTGCAGGGGTGATGCTCCAGGGCCGCCCCCTGGCACTGCTCCCTGCTGCAGGTCGGTTTCTGGCAGTGAGGATGGGGACCAGGCCATCAAACCAGTCACAGCCGTGCCCTGGGCTCTGTCCCTGGTATTGAGGTCCTCCAGGCTTACTTCAGCCCATAGCTCTCCATTGGAAATGGTCACAGTGCTGCAGCTCTTTGTCAGTCTTTCGGGAGCAGCCCATGCAGAAGTGCCTTACAGACTTGCCTCTGCTCCTTTAGCGTCACGGAAAAGGTTGGGTTGGTGGTTTTTTTTTTTGTTTTTTTTTTTTTAAGTTATATTTATTTCATCCCATTTTAATTGCACAAAACACTAAAACTTAATGCATGGAATCCCTGTTGTTTTAACTGTCTTCAGTTTTTAAACCATCCCTTTTCCAGCTTTGGAGAAAGGATTTGAACAGATATGCTTAGATATGTACCAGTTATCGCTGTATTTTAGCTCTGAGTTGCTCTTATATATATATATTAATTTTTAAGCCTGTTTATAAACCAGATCCCTCACTTGGTGGCTTCAAAAGAAGCGGACTGTTTCTCTCAGATGCTGTTCCTGGAGGCCGGGATGGTTGTTGTGAGCTGCTCCCCACCTCCCACCTCCCCTTTGGACCATTGGGTAACTGCTCTGGAACACCAACGCACAGTGCCTGTACCAAACTCCTGTAACGTTCCCAATAAAGGCCTATGGGAAGCAGCCTCTGGCGTGGCTCTGTGTGTGTGCAGCTCACAGTAGGGCTGGATTTGCTGTCCCTGTGAGTGCTCAGCCTGGAGGACAGACCCGGCAGCACTTCTGCTGCTCACCACGGGGGCCCTGAAGCCAACTGTGGGATGACTATTGCTTAAGGACATGAAATCTCTTTGTATCCAAAATAATTCCTAGTAGCACAGAGCTGGCTCAGCTCTAACCTCCCCCAGCGCTTTCGGGTTTGTTGCGCTCCTGCAGCACTGCTGCCGCCCCCTGGTGCTGTGCTGGGACTTTGGAGGGCTTCCAAAGCAGCCTCCAAAGTAACAGAGCTGCGTCCCAAAATGCAAATCTCATGGGTCAGCAACAGCATCTTAACTCTGTTCCACAGAAACCTCCACTCATGCTGCCTCTCTTCAGGTAATTCTCGTCTTAATTATCTAATTAGGTAGCACCTGTAAGAATGAACTTCCTATAAATCCACTTGGTGGATGGTGCTGTGGGTTGTGTGTGGTTCAGTTGTTTGGAGCTGGGGCTCCTCGAGCTGCTTGGCTCTCCCACAACCCTAAGCTGACCCTTTGGGGGGAGGGGAGCATCAGGTAAAAGGCTTCTGTTCCTGCCATGTGAGCAGGACTAAATGAAGGTAGGAAGGCTGAGAGAAAGCCAGCTTTGTGGCTGTGTGAGATCTTGTAAGTTCTTTGCCGGAGCTGTAAAACTGAGCTTCCCTTCCATCTGTGTGTTGCAGCAATCCTGGGTGTGGAGAGCCCTCATGGCCCTCCCTGCAGGTAAGGAACTATGGAGCACAGGGGAGGTTGCAGAAAAGGCAGAGAGAAAGCCACAGGAGGTGACTGCTGTATTTGTTCTCCAGAGAAATCTAAGCTGCCAATGCTTACTCAAAGCAGCATCTCCTTGGAGGATCTTATACAAGGTAGGAAGAATGTCTAAGAATCTCTGCTGGTTCATGAGAAGTTACTGACTGTAACTTGAGGCTTGAGAGTATTTTAGGTGAGTGTCCACTTTCATCCCTGTGAGCAGCATTTAGAGTAGAACTGCTGTGATAGCTGTTATGTGGAGTGTAGTGGGCTCTACATGGTGGGGGTGCTGTACTAAAGAGGACACTCTATGGAATGGGTAAGCATTACAAGTGTGGGGAGTTGTATGGGGGTGTGATCGCTGTTACTTGGAGGGCAGATGGCAGAAGTACTGCACTGTCTGCATACATGGTACTGTATGAGCTGACCTCAGGTGGCCCCAAGGATATCCCGTACGTTGCATTGTGTTGAAGAAACTTTAAAAGCTGAGGAAAGCTGGCTGAGGGCAGATGCTGCTCAGGGGTGGGCTGGGCTGGTTGGGTGGTGAGCAGTTGTGCTGTGCTACTTGTTTTGCAAACACACCCTGTCATTACTATATTAATATGAAGGCTTCTGACCTCTTTCCTATTTGGACCGTGCACACCATCCTATTGAACTCCACCTGCTGGATGATCTCCGTACAGCAGGCTGAGAAAAGCTGTATTGGTGTCAATACACCACCTAGACAGAGCAATAAAGTTGTTTGAATGATAGACTTAGTTTTCACACTTCTTCTTCCCACCAATCTGTCAGTACTACAATCAAGTGAAATTATTTGGTAAACTATGTTTTTGTTAACGTATCAGATTAATGGGAGTATTCATAATACTCCCCAACTCTCAGCCTCTAGAAGTAGATGTACAAGTGGCATAAAGTACCTTGCAACTCTGAAAAAATACCAGCTCCATAGTGATGGTTTGATGGTTGCACTAAATGGTCTTACTGGTCTTTTCCAATGTTCATGATTCTATGACTCCAATGAAGGTGAAGCCCATCTGTGCACCACTTGACTTCTCTGCTTGCTACTCTTTTCAGCAAACTTACTCAAATTGTGATAGATTCTGATAAAGCTGGAATTAAGTGTCAGTATTCTCTGATACTGATATGTGGATACTCAGTACTCTTAACTTATGTACAGAAATAATGACTTCTGTCTTTGCAAGTGGAGGGAAAAGTAACTGAATTTGTTTGCAGGTGAAAAGTAACAACTCAAGATTATTTTACAGTACAGAACTTAGTCACTTCATTTTATACAAGTTAAACATTGAAATGAAAGCTGAAAGTGTATTTTCACCCATCACTTCCAACTAACAAAAAACATATATATTAGATCTGTGTATTTGCTGATGTATGTATTTGCTGATGCCGAATTTGATGTTCATATGAAGAACAGTACTTAGTGACAAATCTATTTATTATGACCCACCATCCTTTAGGAATAGTTTGAAGATAATACAGAGTGATATACACTCAAGACTTGCCAATAATACTTGGAGCAGTTTGTGCTACTGAAATACTGGGAAAGGAATTAAATTTGAGAACAGTAACTTAATCAAATAGGGAGAGTGTGTACTACTTAGCATACTGCTCAAACACTTCTCTAGGGGGAAAAAATGAACACCATTTTACACAACTGATGTAGCAGAGGCATTAAAATTCCCTGCTGCATACAGATCATCACTTCAAAATGTAACAAAGTAAGTGAAGGATACCTGCACTGACAAGTTTTATAGGAGCTCAAAACCCACTTTTATTTCTGATGAAGAAGTTTATCTATTTTTGCCAGATCTCCCAATGAAACTGTCGCAGAACCTCTCTGTGCAGGTTTTGCCTAAGAGGAAAAGAAAACAGAAGGATCATCTCTTAAGATATTTTATAAAAGTCCTTTTAAAGCATAAGTCCTTTAAAATGCACCTTCAAACAAAAAAATAGTTGAGCTTCACATTACCTGTGACTCGTGGAATTTCCATCCAATCATGTAGAAGATCTGAAAAGTGGCAGGTACTGAGCCATCACTATTGCCATACATCTCTGCCAGACAAAGAAAATGTACACAACAGCAGTATTAGGAAATGATTTGTTTCCCAAACAGTAGAACTAAGCATGGCATGTTCATCATAATTGATTGTGGGGAAAGATTTGGGACAATAATAATATCACATACTGATATATTAACAAAGTTCAAATTGTCAATAATTAAGGTTAAAAATAATATATATTAAGAGAGTATTTGTTTTTACAGAGAGGGCAGAGAAAAAGACAAGACGTCATTAGAGTCAATTTGGGTTTACTCCTCACCTATTAAATATGTACCTTGGTATATTGCTGCAGCTGCCAACATTGTATCCCTGTGTAGCAGAGGTTTTCTATTCCAAGAGCAATTACTTTCTCCCATACCTAAAAATATGTTTCAGCTTTAAGAAAAAGAAGATACAGCATATACAATGAGTTTCATGCAGATTTTTACTAACCAAATAACTACAGCATCCTCTGAATCTTACTGTAAGAGTACAATCTACAGCAGCAAAGATTCTTACCTTCATGATTCCAAACCTCTTAATGCCAATGCTTTGCAATGAATTGTTTGTATTGCTAGGAATGATTTTAGATTATTACTTTTCAGCCACAGGCTTCAAGCATTTTGTTTCTCCAATATAGCTTCTTTCAAGCACCCAGTGCAAAGTGTTTATTGAGAGATATCACTTTTTCTTTTTTCCAAATAGGAAATAATGAAAATAATTACCCCAGAAGATCTAATCCACATCTGATGTTATACAACTCTCTTTAATCACTTACTGTGTCCCAACATTTCTGCAGGGAATGGAAGTTCTATTTTCATTAACTAATTAACTCCATGTCTCAGGAGATGATCCTTGACTTGTTCCATGACTGGATATGAACAACTACTTTGTAATCAATGACAGCTGCATTTATAACCCTATCCTAATTGTTAAGAACCTCAATTTTTTTGTTCTCCTGCAGATTCCAGTCTGTGGGCTTACCTAATCTTGCTCCACAGCACTGTCCTGAGCATCATGTTACTTAGAGAGGCTCACAGAAAAACTCATGTTGGATGTATGCTTCTGTCTTCCTTTCAGGATTTTTCAGCAGCTTATGCTGAAGAGGCTCACAAAGAACAGGAATAAAACAGAAGCAGAAAATTCACAGGAGACAAATTATAAATCTTTGACTTTTGCTTGCCGATGGGGATCTGCTGGTGAGTTCCCTGTCCTGACTTCCTAGATAGCAGGAAAAAAATAATGTTCCACTACTACAATAAGCTTTATTTGGAGTTAAAAAACAAATACTAACTCTTCCACATCTACACTGCTGATACACTTCAGAAACAAACATTTTCTGTATACTTGCCTTGCAAGTCTTCCATAACCTCAAACAACCCTGGATAGTTTACTTGAATTTCATCAGTATCCTAAAAGAATTCAAAGGCTTAATTTTAGAACATATCAAGTTCAGACCATAGCATTATGTTAACTTTCAGTGCTGGCCGCTTCTGCTCAGATAGAATATTACTCAAAAACTATACTCAGTATTTCTGAAGAACTGTTTAACAGCTCAAATACAATCAAGTTTTAACCAAAGTGCTGATAGTTTTTTCTGAGTTTTAGAAGCAGCAGCAAGGGCATCATAAGTTCTTCCAACTAAATGTAACATACTCTGACACCCTTGCCCATATAGACTCTACTGGGCCACTAGCTAAAGATACATTTCAGTTGGTTTCTTTAATCACTGCACAGCCAAAAACTGAGCGGTCCAGGCTATTTCAGAAACTTACTCAGCTAAGTGCGCTACATGCAAAAGAAAGGAAGCACTGTTACTAATGCACCTGAAATAGTATCTGTTATACACCCGCAGCTCTGAAGTTTGTTCTTTTATTTAGTTACCACAGTCAGCGTGTTAAACCCAGCTCTTGACAGGAGATGTCCCAAATCTGACACAGCAACAAAGGGTGACACATGAGGAGAAAATCCCCCTTCTCTCTCCAATTCTGCTAGCTGCAAAGAGCAGCGAAGCTCATACAGAGTGTCTCCCCCAAACATTGCACCAATGAAGACTCCATCTGGCTTAAGAACTTGGTGTATCTACAACACAGAAGGAACAAGAAAATACCCATTAAATTCCTGGGTGATTTTTTTTAAATGAACTTAAAGCAATTATTACAATGGCTTTAATACATTTTTAGTACTGACACTATTCCACAAAAGGAGCTACAAAAAATCTTTGGTAATGTTGCAAGATATATAATCTCTTCCAAAAAAGAGACCATCTGGTCTTAAAAAGAGTAAATTCCTGGAAATTACATTCATTGGAAACAAGAAATGCACTGCTGAAATCTTGGGTAAAACTACTTCTAGAGGGAAGCTCCTAAAATGAAAACCTCAACTGACTTAATTCCAAAAAGGTAGAGCTTAAGATACTACTTTTACTTTCTCAGAAGAAGGCAGTGAAAGTACTTCATGAATGGCTTAAGAGATACACAGATTTCCAATAGTGGTTTTTGCACTTCCACAAGCACAACAGAGCAGTGCCATTCTTGTTACGGCTGTTCCAGTTTATTATCATCAAGGAAGAACAGCAATATAGCAACTCAAGTGCCACACTGACAGGCTGCTTTCCTGTTTAGTAAGACCATGCCCCTTTCCTAGCAAGGATGTCAACAAATTCAGTGCCTTTTTTTGTGAAGCACTGGCAACAACTGCTGGCTGAGAAAGAGAAGCCGTGTTACATAACCCAAGCTAACAAGAAAAAGCCTCAGTTAATTTACCTCGCTTACTCATTTGACACAAAAACCCTTCCAGTTGGTTTTCAGTTGGGTATTAACCATGCTACCTTTACCTACGCTAAAAGGAAAAAATAAAATCCTTTTATTAATCAGTAAGAAATTTAAACACTTGAAAAAAGTTTCCATTACTTAAATCCAGTGGTCCAGAAACAGAAAATGAGCATTCAAGATAGACATTGGCCTAGACCCCCATTTTTCAGCCCTTTTTGGGATATCATAACATGTCAGTTATTTTTACAGTGGTAAAAATATTTGTCAGACTATGTAATACACTAGGGTCTCTAATTTTCCTATTTCATAACAGGGTACTCCTATCTGAACAAAGAGGTAGCAGGATAGCACTGCTCTAACTGACACATTTAAAATAAAGGAGGAAACCAAACAAGGAGAAGATATTCCTTGCTCTTGCTCCAAAGGCAGCCAATTTGAAAAGCAGCTTTCACCTGCAGTAAGGAGTTTAAATAATCCCAAATCTGATTTCTTCCATCATGCTTGCAGTTTTTCCTCCTCAACATACATTCACTTCTCTTAGGAATCAAAAAGCCTCTATTGGTTCAAGTTGTATTTCAAAACAAATACCCAAGGTAAACATGGAGTACAAGTTCCCTAAGCCAGATCTGGATTAGATTGGTTTAGAAAACTAGTAAGTGCAACAGACAACAAAATCAACAGCACTGCCTCAGTTTACATTAGTTCTTATGATCTCAGCTGTTGTGACTGTGAAATACTATACAAAAATGTTGTGCAGTTATTTATCCTAAATTGAATTGAGACAGCAAGCTAACAGAAGCATCAACTGATACCCCTCAAACTGACAGAAACATTACAAAAAATAGCTGAGTGTAACACGAGCTATTTATCAGGTAGAAGTGGTCAGAGCTTTGAGTGTGAGTAATGATAAGTGTTGTTTTTTTATGTAAAAAGTTGTATTAAAAAAAAATCTCACCTCTCTAAAAGCTTTTGGAAGGTCATTCACCCAGTGTAAACTGAAATACCAGAAATGGACATTTTGTAATAATTGCAGAATGAAATTTGGGGGAAGGCAAAAAAATATATGTTATACATAATATAAACATACAGGTGTTAAATTAACAAACAAGTTCTCAGCCTGCTGAAGTTCTGAAACACTCTCAGATGAAGCATGGTGATACTGAATGAAGACATAAGTTCATATGCATAGCTAAGAGGTTGCTGTGTTGGCTTTTTTAAGGGCTTTAAAAGCCGCACATCAATTAAGTAGTCAAAATACAGGACAAAGAGATGAGTCCATGTGTTCTCATAGAATGTTATGGATTGGAAGGGACCTCCAAGCCCACCCAGCCCCAACCCCAGCCGTGGGCAGGGCTGCACCCTGCCAGCTCAGGCTGCCCAGGGCCCATCCAACCTGGCATTGAGTGCCTCCAGGGATGGGGCACCACAGCTCTGGGCAGCACTGCCAGGGCCTCACCAACCTCTGAGCAAAGAACTGCTGCCTAATGTTTAACCTATCCCTGCTGTTTAAGGCACTGATTTTCTGACATCAGTGTGAAAATATAGAGATAGACATAGATATGTAAATGAAGCGTAAATGAGCGACCACCGCACACCTCAAGCTGCTCACAACAAGATCAAACGTGTCTTCTTTGAAAGGCAGGAACTCCTCATCAGCGACCACGCTGACCGTAGGGATTTCGGACTCCACGGTGCCTTTCTAAGGTCGGGTGCAGGACAAAAAGCATCACCAGAAAAGCACCGTTTCTGCATCACGGCCCGAAGCGCTCCAGCCCTCGCAAAGCTACTTACGAAGACGTTCTCGGCAATATCGACCCGGACGAGCTTTTCAATGACCTCCTGAAACGAGAAGCACGCCAGTCAAACGCGTGCGGGCCGACGGCGGGCTCGGCACGGCGGCGCCCAGCGGGGCGGCACGACCTCAGCGCTCCGTACCCGGCTCAGGTGCCGAGCGATGTGACCTCTCCCGGAGCCGAGGTCCAAAGCCAGAGGGAACGTCCTGCGGGACAAGCGCGACGGCGTCAGGCGCCGCGGCAACGCGCCGCGCCCGGCGCTCCGGGGAACCGCGCGTACCTGGGGATGTCGAGCACTCGGTCCGCCACGCCGCCGCCGACCTACGGGAGGGAGAGCCGCCCGTCAGCGCCGCGCCCCGCCCGGCCCGGCGCCGCGCCGCGCCGCCCCGCACCTCGTCCCGCAGGTACTCGCACTCGGCCGGCCGCGGCCGCAGCGCCGCCCAGTTCTTCTGCTTCCGCTTCAGCCGCCGGTCGAAGGGGCTCCGCGCGCCCGGCGAGGCGCCGCCGGGAGGGGGGGCGGCGGCGGCGGCCGCGCGCCCCGGCTGCGCCCAGAGCCGGCCGCCGCCCCGCGGGACGGGCAGGGCGGGCAGGACGGGCCGCCACAGCGCTCGCGCCGCCGCCATGCTCCCGCCCGCCGCCACGCCGCCTCTCCGCGCACGCGCGGGCCGCCCGCAGCCGCCGTTCTGCCGCCGTGTGGAAAGCGGTGGGAAAAGCGGGGTGAACGGCGGTGTAGCTGTTGGGTGAGCAGCCTTGCGCAGCTGGGGGCGAAGGGATGTTGGAACGAGGTCGGAGCGTGGTGATGAATTAGCTGAACTGCTTCTAGCGGAGACGCGTTGGTGGGAGACGCCCCTCGTGGGGACGAGGTGAAGTTGTTCCGTGTGAGAAGTCGCCGTGCGGTGACACCGAGGCGTGCGCTCCTGCCAGGTCGCCATAAGCCTTTGTGTGGAATGGGTTGTGAAGGTGCTCTTTGTAACGGGTTTTTGACCTTACTGAGTGCAGAGTGCAAGGGATGATGAAACCGAGTCCTGGCCTGAAGTGGTGATGGAGCACCTGGTGGGGAGGCAGGGCCAACCCAGGGCAGCTCGGGTGCGTGCAGTGTGCCTGAGCGACTGGGAGGGCTGCAGCCGGGATCCGCCCCTTCCCAGGCCTCATCTAAGGGTTAGCAGCAGAGGCTAGGGGATCTCTGCGGGTCCCTGTGTACCTGAGGCTTTCCAAAGTTGAGCAGTTTCTTTCCTTTATTTCTGTGCCCGCAGCTGAGCAAATCTTTACTTGCTGCAGCCTGGGACCTTGCAGCTCTGCTGTCACTGTTGCACTTTTCCATTGCGTTGCATCCTCTTTGAAGAGGGCTGTAAGATGGGTTAAGTTATGGTTCCTGTTAACCTGTCCCAAAGCATTCTAGGTTTTAACCATCAGCCTGTTTATTCCTTTGTTTTTTCTTAGAGTTCAGAGGGTACTAAAGTTTATGGGGTTGATCCCTTTATCATTTTCCTCTAAAATGAGTGAATTGTAAAAGGCTTAGTGAGAATTTTACTTAATTGGTGTACAAAATGCTACTGGAGTTGAAATTTTTTTTCATATTGTTATTTTTGTGGATTTATCCTTTGGAGTTTGAGCAAGAGAGATTGAAAGAGGAAGAACAATAAGGACTTCCAGAGCTGATCTTCCAGAGAATAGCACAGAGAAAGACAGGTGTTAACTTAATCTTCAAATCAGAGATACAAGTCCAGTTCTCAGTGAAGATCTTGATTAGCTGTTCGTTACAGAACTGCATTTGTTGGAGTCTCCCATGGCTTTTTCAGGGAATGTTTTGGACCCTGGTTCAATGTCAATGTGTGTAATATATGCATTATGATAAAGATTTAAAAAAAAAAAAAAGTTCTTACTGATAAGAGACTTTGAAATTCTTGTTACATTAAAAAAAAAAAAAAAGTGTGAATGCGTAGAGAGCTTAATAAAGCATTTTTCTCTACAAGCTGTCATTCATGCAGGAAAGCCCTTAGTTGTTCACTCCTAATATTTTTATCTGTGTAAGCAATAGGAACCCTAACTTAGCTCAAGAATTCCCAGGCGGAGATTCATTGAATGCTACCAGCAGCAGCCCTGGCAGGTTGAGCTCATCAGGACTACCATAGTCCAGGCTTCTTCAGGCATGTCTTTTGTTATCTTTCTTTTGTTCTGCTTGCAAGTCTTCTCTATATGGAACTTTAGAAGTATTGCTTTAATATTTTTCTAGAATTTCCAGATGTTTAGCAGTCTAACTGGAGCCAGTTTTGTATAATGCATCCCCCTGGACTGCCCTATATTTGAACAGTCTGGATGCTTTTAAAGGAAACGTAAATATCTTGAAAAATTCTCTGGTGCATCAGGGAATTGCATGACGAACTTAGTCTGTGCTGAAGTCACCTTCATCGTGTGCAATGAGGTGCCTCAAAGCTTTGGTTTACAAAACTGGAATAGTTATAACTATTGGAAATCCAGATATCACAGGGTGATACCTGTGTGCATACCTTTAAATTCACAGGCCAGGACCTCAGCCTTGTGATCTGTCTCCATCTTTCCACTGAGCCATTCACTTATCAACCTCTTTTTGGCTTTTTTGGGGGGCGTTTTGCTGTCACCATCAATGACAAAACCACCACCTGTGCTACCACTGTTAGTGTCCTGATGCCCTTCCTCAGCCGTATCACTTTCTTATTTATCACTACTATGCTGTCTTTATCCAGCTTGAGGATCTTACAGCCTTGCAGTTAGTGCCACGCTGCTAACAGGCAACCTTATTCATATATGGAAACACTTTTTCATTGTCCTTGCCAGGAGTTAAGATGGCAGGTGGTCAGCTCACCCAAATAGGCTCAGACACCTTGATGGGAAATACTGGATGTTACATTCTATGGCCTGCATAGATGCATGTGAAGATGCCATCTGCATGCCCTGTGCAGGGACTCTAACCTCCCAGTGCCTGTAGGAGGCAGAGTCAGATAGAGTCACTGCTACATCACATGTTCAAGTAATTGGAGCACTGCTAGTAATTAAAAAAAAACAACCAAAATTTAATAATTCCAGTCCTAGTATGATAGCTGTTCATGTGGAAAATACTGTTAAAAAGCACTGACCACCACCTCTGTTACTCAAACTGTGTGAATTAGTCTTTTGAGTGAAACTGAATAGAGAGATAGTTAGGGTTTCCTGCTGTTTAACATCTAATCTTAATGAAAGATGGGGAGAGTGTTTCAGCAGCACACATTTCTAATGAGTTGAATTAAAACAGTTTGCAGATGAAAACTTGCTTAAGCCAGCTCACTTGGTGGTGCTGCTTTCTGCTTTTGCAGGCTTCATAAGGAAAACTGAAGGAGCATCAGTTGAAGTGACTGAAATCCTTCTATGCAGGTGTAAAATGTGACCCTCCTGAAACAGCTCGTAAAATTTACAAGAAATGCAGTTTGGAATTTGAAAGTAGTTCTTTTGTTGACTCGAAGTGAATCTAATGGCAGCTTTCTTATGTATCCATGGGGAGGAGAGGCTGTTAATTTAAAACTGTTTAAAAATAATATGGGCTGAACAATATTTACTGTATATTTTGCAATCAAAACGAGATTAATTTTTTTTTAATAAATTCAGCACACATTGAGTTTGTCAAGGTATTGGGAATATAGTGCTTTGTTTATTTATTTGTGGAGTATTTTTATGTGGAAATGGAAAGTTAGAGTGCATCACTGCATGGGGAAAGCATTCTCAGGGAAAACATTCTGGTTGCATCTCTGACCTATTGGTAAAATAAAGTGAAGTTACAAGATGCTGGTTGAGAATGCAGAACTATGTACTGCTCTGTGAATTTTCTCAGCCAAGGGTCTAGAAGTAGGGTTTTTTCCTTTTTTCCTGAGTTGCTTACCACAGGGCAAGAATATAGCTGCTGTTGTTCTGAAGCTGCAATAAATCACTGTGCTTGTCCCTGTGAATGAGCTGGAAGCTCTAATATTTCAGAAGTCACGTTTGGGAAAGAAAGAATTTAAAATTATAGTTGTGCTTTGTTCCTAATGTTTCCTTTTGTTATGAAAGAGTCTTCCAGTCTGAGCAGAGGAGAGGTTACTAAATCAATCACACAAAGATCTGACAGAAGCTGGCTTTGCCTCCTGGAGGCCATGCTATGGGCACTCTTGGAAACCATGATAGGTAAGTTCCATGCTGAATGAACGTGTAACTTTTCGTGCTTCTAACCATAGAAAGATAGCATTCTCCAGCAGACAGCTGTTTGAAATTCCCAAGTGCTTTTTCTGATTTTCCACTTCATTACATTTTAATGTTGAATAATATTCATCGTATTACATTTGCAAAAACAACCCCACAGCAAACAAAAAAAACTCAACCAGGCAACCTCAAGTAGTTTCTCATGTAGTGCATTTCTTTTGTTTCCTCTTTAGACTTTCTGACTCTATATTGTAACGTTCTTTTGTGCACGTTCCATATTTGTGAATAACTCAGGCTGTTTATACTATGAAATTTCCCACTGTATTTGTATAATAGCATGTTTTATCTGCCTTTTAAGATTTGTTCCAGATAACGTTACATGTGATGGTAAGCCAGAAGATGTAGCCTCAGAAGTGAATGTATCTGTGTGTAAGCCAAAGTACTTCACATCTGCTGCAATGGAACATCAAAGCTGTCTTTACAATGTTTTCATAATGTTAACAATGTTTTTCTAATTTGTTTAGTTTTATTGTCAGGTTATAAATGATAAAAGCAGTGGGGAAAACCTTTCTGCTTATCTTCACCGTTTCAAAATAGAGACGTCAAACATGCTACAGGATGTAAGCGTGTTACACAATTGCAAGTTGCAACTCCATAAATAAGCTCAATTTTTATTTTTATTTTTTTTAAAGATTCAGCTTCTTGGTTACAAATTGAATACTACATTTTGACCTCATTATACCCCTGTTACAGTTGCACATGAACTCACTTTGTTGTCCACAATTAAATCTTGTAATTTGCTGAAAATGGATGTTTGGGCGTAGTTCAATAGGAGCCTTTTTGGTGGTGGTGTCAGGCTTAAACTGTTGCTTCCCCTCCTTGTAGCAATTCATTCTTGCTCTGTCTCATGTGACAGCCAAAACATTCTTCTGGCCATGAAATGAAGCAGATTGGAGAAGTGATTAGTTGAGAAGTAAGTAATTTCTGCGGGATCATTTGTCAGACGTGTCTCATCTTCAAGGTGCCGTTGTGCAAACGCTTTTATTGTCCCTGTTGCAATCCACTCATGATTCCAGGAATGAGTTTGTGCTGGAGGAGAGGGAAGAAGTTGGTGGCTGCTGCTTCAATAGCACTATCTGCTGCCACAAGGAAAATTCTGCCTATGGAGACTTAGTGTTCTGTGACCTGATGTTACAGAACCCTTCAGTGCAAAAGGACATTTCTTCACTCTCTCATGTAGCTAAAACTCCTGCTTTTTTGTTTGTTTGTTTGTTTGTTGTTTTTAAGAAATTAAAGTTGTGATTGAATGGATTTTAATAAATGGTTGTTTTAGGTATTGTTGTGGAGTACATTAGTAACAGCTTTGCCTTGCTTCTTAAATGGAAGGCATATTTAATTTTCTCTAAAAAATCTGTCTTAAAATGTTTAATTTTAGCACATCCACTTCAAGTGGCTTTCCTGTTTTTAAGGTAGATATCATGTGGGATGAAACAGATCATGAAAGAGTAATGTCACTCAGCAGAATTTTTTTAAAAAAGGAACTTGACATGGATGTTCAAGCTTATTTGGCTTTACCTTGTGAAGAAGGAAGGACAGTAGTAAGGTACCTTCATTAGTAAGTGTTGTTCACAAAGTCATTAGCTACAGTTCTTTCAATAGAAGTTAGTTTAATGTACAAATTCCACATCATGAGAAAATACTTTAAACATCTTCCTTTACAGTGACAATATTTTTCTGATTACTGAAAAGCTATGGTCAGTTCTCCTTTGAAAATAATGTACTCTTCCTCCAGAGCTAAGCATCTCTGAAAGGGGCATATGCTTGTTCTTTTGTATGGTGACCTAAAGGTGGAGAGCTGTTGGTGAGCGTGATGGTGTCTTTGATTCACTCTTTTTCAGTTAGGAAATAAATGGGTTGTTGATAGAATGCTGACAGATAATGAAAAAGAATTTGAATCAGGCCTGACAACATGAAAGCTGTAGAGTCCCTCATTTAGTTTTTCCCCTTTTATTTCTTTTTTCTGGGGGGAGTTAAATACAGACTTCAGAAAGTTTTCCAGTGTTTTGTGTACATAGTAAGAAAACACATGTTGAAGTTTCTACAATGTCTCTAAAGCCACAGATGAGATTAATTATGTTGACTTATTTTTGATTCTTCAAATAAGGTAATATCACTTATATGACCAAAATTCTTTATGAAGATAAAGGAAACACTTCTGCTTTTGCATCCAGATGTGTAGTCCTCTGTACAGGAGAGACCTGGACCTGCTGGAGCATGGCCAGAGGAAGGCCACAAAAATGATCCAAGGGATGGAACACCTCTCCTACAAGGACAGGCTGAGAGAGCTGGGGCTGTTCAGCTTCGAGAAGAGAAGGCTCCAAGGTGACCTGAGAGCAGTCTTTCAATATCTAGGGAAGGGGAGCTACAGGAAAGGAGGGGACAGACTCATCAGCATGGTCTGTGGTGACAGAACAAGGAGAAATGGCTTCAAGAGGGTAGATTTAGGTTAGATGAGGGTGGTGAGGCACTGGAACAGGCTGCTCAGAGATGTGGTTGTTACCCTGTCCCTGGAGACTTTCGAGGTGAGGCTGGCTGGGGCTCTGAGCACCCTGATCTAGCTGTGGTGTCCCTGTTCATTGCAGGGAGGTTGGACTGGATGACATTTAAAGGTCCCTTTCAACTCTAAGGATTCTATGAGTCAATGATTCTATGCTGTATAACTGAAGAAGTATATCAGCTGATTTGGAGGTTAGATTACTTAGAAGACTCATTAGTGAGATAGCTTTGAAAGAGCTTCCTGTTTTTTACTCATTTGTCATGCAAAAATCTACCTGATGTAACTAAAAGTTAAGCCAGGTGTAATGGTTATAATTGGAGTGATTTCAGGTAGCAAGATCACAGTTCATCAAAACGATGGTTTCTTTTCTTTATTGCTGATATGACAATTCTCTTAAAGAAAAGATGCTTTTCATTGTACATTTGACTGATTTTTCTAGAGGTTATGGTAGTTAATTAATGGAGAAAACTGCCATGAGACTTCTGATACACTTAAGCTTTGCTTGTAAATTTTACATAGTGAAGGCAAAGATGAGCTGCAAAAAATATTTAAGGGAATTTTATTATGAAAGACTGTAGTGGCAGCAGATTTTAATTGCTTGATGATTCTCCTAAGTTCTTAAGCATACAGAAAGAATTTCATCTGGCTTCATGAGTCTTCTCTGAATGGTGTGAATTCCTGAATTACTTCACTTGCTTTCACTGTAAAGTTCACTCTGCTCTTAATTGATCTTATGTATAGTGTGAAAGGCTAGGAAAAAACGTGTCATTAAGCCTTAATTGGGTCTTTTAAACAAGTTAAAATTGGTTTACACTGCATTAAAGTGGGTTTTTGTAATCAAAGACGTTTCTGTAGAGCACAAAAGAGCATGACAGATTTTTCTTGTAATGGAGTTGGGAAATCTTGACAGCAAGCTAGGCTTGGCATTGTCTTGGCAGGATAAATGTCTGTTTGTTTCTCATCTTACAGGGAAAATATATTTATAAGCTGCACCTCCATGAGATTTTTTTTTTTCTAGTGATGCTTAATAAAATATAGTAGGAGCAATAGATGCAGAGAAAAGCATTTCTGTTTTCTTAATTCAATTTGTATTTTTCTGAGAAGGAAGAGAAATTGACCTAAAGTTACTTTATCGTGCAATGGATTTTAGACCTGGAATTGTTTAATTTCTAATAGTTGTTTTGAGAAGTAAGTTATTAACAGAGGAATTATGTTGCCATATCTTTAATGTGTTCCTGACATGTTATCCACTGGGCTGTGTGATGCAAGCCAGGATTCCATCCAGCAGAATTGTGTGGCACTATGGACAAAAGAGAAAAATCAATGTCAGCTGTTTGAATGGGAATGTAAGAGTGTGATAGGAAGGAAAAAAGGCTTTCAACTTCTTTTTTTTTTTAGTTTATTGAAACACTTTATAAACAGTTTTTGGTTGCCCTATTGTAATCTTTCTGTGGAATTTTCTGAGTTAGAATGTCATGAATGTTATTAGTGCTGTATAACGTTGTAACGTTAAGTATTTCAGTGATCTGGTATGTAGTATTTCATAGTGCAAAGTATCTCCTACATTTCCACTCATTCTGCTGTTATGTGGATATGTTTGTTCTGCTCAGTAAACCTTTGTGATGTGCATCAATATCAAGGCCATAATTGCTGTTTTGACTGTGAGCACCAGTTACCTAGTAATGGCATTTTAAATAACATTTTTAAATTAAGCAATATGGTGATTATGCCTACATTTTTGTTCTTTTATCTTTTGCAAGGATGGTATCTTCAGTCTTTCTGCCATGCAGATACGTGACTCTGTGACCTGTTTCATCAGTATATTTTTCATAAGTTGCTCCTGATGTGGTGTCATAATGTGCAGGGAGTTCTATATAAAGCCTGTCTCTCCTCACCAGGAGTTTGAGCAGGGAGCAGTCTCCTGCATTATGGGGTTTCTCATAGAGATTCAGCAACGGCAGCCAGGTCATGCTGCAGCACCAGTGCTGGAGAGGTGCAAATACAGAGAAAATGCAATTGTTGGAAGAAAGAATTGTTGGCTTAATTCTGCTGCTGATCTAACTTTCAGTGAGTAATGGTAAATAAAAGGATTTAATAAGTTTTGATTTTACGGTCTTGAAATTAATTTGCTCACTTGCTTAGTTATATAAATGTGAATGTACCTTTAATATTTTAACATGTGGCAGTACAGTCTTCCATGTTGTGTGAGAAATGAACAGTGTTCTTATGTATGTGTGAACTGAAACTGTTATGGAAGACTAATAAGTGGAAGATAAGACATGCAATATTGTTTCTGAATCTGGTGACTATTTATAAAATGCCTTGAGTAGGGCTTCATTTGGGTTGACTTGTTTACTACTGTGTAGATACTTTGGCCTTTGCTGCATTGTTACTTCTTCAGTACTAACAAGGATCTGACTTCTCAATA